GGATCCAGGGAAAGTTCAATTAACAACAGTGACAGCTAAGGCTTGTGCCAGGTCCAGCTAAATACTTTAAACTTATTAGTTCATTCAATCTTTGCCACAATCCTATGAGATAGATATTATTACCCCCACTTTACAAATCAGGAAAGAGATTCAGAGAGATTAAGACACTTGCTTAAGCCACTTGCTGGTGGCTCATGCCTGTAATCCTAGCTACTCAAGGCAGACATCAGGAGGATCACTGTTCAAAGCCAGCTGGGGCAAATAGTTTGTAAGACCCTATCTCGAAAATACCCGTCATTAAAAGGGCTGATGGAGTAGCTCAAGGTGAAGGCCCTGAGTTCAAGCCCCAGTACTGCAAAAAGAAAAAAAAAAAAAAAAAAAAAAAAGACACTAGCTTAAGCCACACAGCCAGTAAGTGGTCATGGTATGGATTGGACAGATTCAGGGTGACTGTGTCTACTGCATTCAGTCTCCTACCCAATGAAGCAGCCTTCTGAAGAGACCTGAGCTGGGGGGTGGGGGATGGGTAGGAAGGACATAGCCTGGGGGATGCCTCACTGCTGGGCTGAGACAGAGGACTCTTTGGGGACAACCTTACTTGTGGCCTGAATAAGCTAAGCAGATCTCTGAGGGAGTGCACTGGGAGGGGGCAACCTGCCCCAGCAATGGGCCTGCAGGTTCCTTAAGGCCAGACCCCTGAGGCCAGGTCATCACTTCTGTGGCTGGTAAAACTGGGAGTCCTACTAAGCCTGCAGATCTGAAGGAGCTCCCTGGCCCGGCAGGCGGCCATTGTTCCTGGCCTCCAATCAGGAGCACCCACTTCCTGTTATTTTAGGCGGCAGGAAATGACCCCATCCCGCAGCCTGAGCTCCACCATGTCCCTCCCTAAGCCCCAGCTGATCAGCCCAGGCTGGGGCCCAGATGCTGAGGGCAAAGGCCAGCCCCTGGTGAAGGCCTGAGGATGGCCCACTAGCCACACTGTCACCACCACCTGGGTCCAGGACCTCTTTATGGTCCAACTTGTCAGACTCCAACCTGATAGGATTCATATAGGGAACCTATGTCTTGGGTGGTTCTACCTCTGCCCAACAAAGAAAAGATTAAGGGGTCTCCAAGACCAAGATGCTCATAGAAGACGAGTTATGGAAAAGAGGCAAGTCAGACCCTGGCACTGACTGGTTTGGTCATGATAATTCAGTATAAGGTCAGACTCTATAATCAGACTTGAGTTCAAATTCTGCCTTTGCCAGTTCCTAGCTGTGTGACTTTAGGCACCTCTCTGGGCCTCATTCGTAAAATGGAGATAATACTAGGCCCTATTCATGGGATTGTCATGAAGAACAAATGAGACAATGCTCATGACACACTGAGCATTGTGCTTGGCACAGTTAAGGCCCTTAAATAGGAGTGGGAGACAAAAAATGAAAGATAGCTTGGTTCACCAGTGAGTCTATGCCTAGCACACACCTTTTCCTCTTGAAACTGATGAGGAACACTAATGGGGGAGGGGAGACAACAATGCTGTGCTCCCTACCCCTTGCCAGGCTCTCTGCTCCCTTCAGGGTAGAGATGCAGTTGAGAGGTAAAGAAGGAAATACTGGAGACTGTGCCCTGGGGTACCAGGCAGAGCTACCACCAACCAACAAAACTGCATTATCTGAGCCTCCTGGCCCAAGACCCAGCAGGGACCCAAGGACAGGGTTTCCAACTGCTTATGGCCTCACTTCCAGGTTCAGTCAGACTTTGAGACCTGCTCTGACAGCCCTCAAGTGCCACCACTCTAGCTTGCTTCAGTCTCTTGCTCCTTCCCGCATCCCTGTCCCACCAACAGCAGGTGCCCATCCTTGGAAGGAGGAGGGCTAAGCTGGCCTAGCACCCTCCCTCCTCATTTAAACATGCATGCATGAACATTTTGGGCTCATCAGAGGCCTCATTACTCAGGGGAGAGTCAGGGGGAGGTACCAGCCAGGCTGGCTACTGGACGTACACCTGTGGCTCATTGTGCCAGTCTCACAAACTTCTGTTCACCCTTTCAGGTCCACCTGAAAGGTCTCCTCCTCCATGAAGCCTTCCACAAGCAGAGCCTACACACTACCCACTGCATCATTACTACACCTGGCTTTCCTCCTGACAAATGTCCCTGTAGTGAGCACATCTGTTTCCTGCACAGGTCAAGGAGCTCCCTGAGGGTAGGGACTCTGACTCACTTCTCTTCTGTCAGCACCCAGTTGGCACATAGCAGGGCATCCACACAGTGTGTGCACCCACCTACAGGGGCCCATCTTCCCCAGATATAGCTGTGCTCAGGCCTGTTGAGAACTCTCCTCCCATAGCAATCTGTCCTATTTACTTCCTGAAGTTCTAATTCATCACATCTCCTCCTTAGGCCTCTGAAGGAATTAGAAATAGTATCAACAAAATCCAAAACATTTATTGAGCACTAACTTGTAGTTATTGAGCATTAACTTGTAGTAGGCCAGGGCCTACAATGAGAGTTTTATGTATTCACCCCATTTAATGGTCCTAATGTTACTGTGAGATCATTTCCAGCATTATTTTCATTTTATAGATGGGAAAACAGCGTTTAGGTGAAGTGACTTATCTGAGGTCATGCACTAGTAAGTTATGAAGTGGAACTTAAACGGATTCCAGAGTCTACACTCTAAACAAACTGCTTCCCAATCTCTACCCCAGCCTCCCCCATATTTCATACCTCCCTCCTGGCACCAGTTCCAATAAGCCTAACCACAATAATGGTAATAGCCCTTTATTGTGGGTGTCTGGTGTCTGTGTGCCAGGTTCCCTCAGGTTCATCATCTCTAGCCCTCACATCAACCTACAAGGATGATAACACCACCCCCATTTTCCAGGGGCAGAAACTGTGGCTCCAGGAGGTAGTCACTTGCTCCCTTCCAGGAGCTAATAAACGGCTAATTGGGATTTCCATCTAGGTCTTCTAATACTAATGTGGGTTGCCACACTTGACCCCTCTACCTCATGCTACCTGCTGTTAATGCTGGGTGTGCAAATACACAAAAGGAACCCAAGGAGGGCAACAATCATGTCACATGCACCCACAGGCTCAGATCCATGCCTCAAACTCTTCCAGGGTCCTGCTGTGGGTATGTATGTTTACTCCCAGAAAGTCCTTGCCTTACAAGGGACTCCCTCACTGTCAACTTCTCTCTATCCAAGGACAAGTTACCCTCCTGATCTAGGTGCTCATGTAACTCCACTGGAACCGTGTGTATTAGGAGTCTTTCCAACCCAGGACTCTATATGGAGTCCCCACCCTCACCTGGGCCCCCTGTACAGCCAAGCATCTCATCTGTGCCCTCATACTCAGTCCAGGCCTCCCAGCCAAGTGTCCTAACTATAACCTAGCCACTGATCAGGCCCCCATGTACACACCAGTGCCAGGGACACTCACGTGCAGAGGACCAGTAAGCAGATGGATGGACCAGGCTGGGCCTCTCTAGGTGTCGCCTCTCGGGCTCAGTAAAGCCAAGACAGACCCAGACATTCTTGTTTGTAGTACACATACAGACCTCCAGAACCCCACCAGTGATGGTAGCCTCCCCTCCATGTCCTCCCAGCTCCCACACCCACACAGTCCCCTCCAAGAACCCACACTGGCATGGGGAGGAGCCCACCCACAGTGGAGCCAGCCCCACCTTGTCTTGGGCTCTCTGCACCCACAGACACTGTTTCATCCTGGGCCCACACCCCAGGGGTTAGGGAGGTGACAGGATTAGGCTCAGTACTCCATGAAGGTGTGGGGATGGGGCCACCTCCCCCCTGAGTCAGTGGGAACAGAAATTGGGTCCTCAGTAATCATGCTCATCCCTCCCCTTCCAGGAAGAAAGAGAAAGAGCCCTCCCTCCAACACAAGGCCCAACCAGAAACGTGTCCCCACCCCCTCATCAGCTGCTCCCAGATCGAATGGGATTTGCAGAAGTCCTGGGCACTGGTGGTTGGTGGGGTGAGGGGTGGAGAGGGGAGCTTTGGCGGTCTGGGGGCTGGAGAGTGAGTGAGCGAGCGTGCGTACGTGCGTGCGCGTGTGTGTGTGTGTGTGTGTGTGTGTGTGTGTACGTGCGTGCGTGTGTGTGTGTGTGTGTGTGTGTGTGTGATGTGATGTGGCAGGTCGTGAGTGCCGGCCTTGAGTCTTCACCTCATTTTACAGTGAGACTCAGGCCCACAAACACTGGGCAGGGCAGGCAGGACAAGAAGATCTACTTCTGTCTCCCTTCTCTCCAAATCGGGCTGGGTGGGCTCAGGAGGCGGCCTAGCTGCAGGGGAGGCGGCCCACTCCCCAGCTCCCGCCCTCGCCCCAAACAATGCCGCCTCCCCCTCCCCCTCGCCTTCATCCGGCGGGTTACTTGGCAGCCTGCGCTAGAGACCTCCTCCTCCTCCTCCTCTCCCCTCCCCTCCCAGCCGGCCCGCAACAGCAACAGGCCCTTTGCGCGGCAGCTGGACGGATGGGGTGGGGGCGAGGTCTGGGCCAGGGCCTGGGCGTGGGGACACTAGGGCCTAAGGCTTCGGTATGCAGGGCTCCAGGCCTGAGAGGCTAAACTTCCATCACACACATTCAGGCTAGGGTCACACGTGCCCACGCGGGAAGGGGAGAAAAGACAGAAACCCCAGCTCAGTAAAAGAGGATTTTTAGGGATTGGGGCGGATCGGGAATGGGGATGGGGGCGGAGACGCCGAGATGGCCCTGGGTTGTGGCAGAAGAGTCACCCCAACAACTGGGCAGCCGGGTCCCCGCGGATCCCGCCGCGCGGTGCGTCCCAGCGCCGGTGGGGGAGGGGGCAGCTGTCAGAAGATGAGTCTGTGGCCCCGAGCCGCGGCCGCCGCCGCAGCCTTTATTTTTAAACTTCCAAGTGGTCAGAGGGCGCGGCGGCGGGGGAGGGGTCCCCGCCCAGCAGCCAGCCTCATCCTCGGCCTCCCCGGCCCCTGGACCTCGCTCCCACCTCGCCCCTGCAGGGTTCGCAGCATACCTTGGGGTGCGCCCGGACCCGGCTCCGCATGCGGGCTGCTCTCCATGGCTGCGTCGTCACTGGGGGGCTTAGAGTGGAGGGAGGTCTCAGCGGCGGCGGCGGCCGCGGCCCGAGGCCAAGATAGGGGTCCCGCGACGCATCACGCTCAGCCCGCAGAGCAGACAACGACTGGGAGGCAGCAGCGCCCCCGGAAAGTCGAGGCTGGGGGCCTGCGAGGCTCGGAGTTGCCAGCCGCCCAGTGTCTGTCTGTCCGCTCCGGCGGCAATCCTTTTCCCTGCCCGGCGCCGGCCCAGTCCCGGCCGCGGCCCAACCCTATTGTACCGCCCGGGCTGGGCCTGGCCTCGCTGCTGGCACATACCAAGTGCGACGCGGGGAGGGCCGCCCCCGCAGCGCCCCGTGACCCGGCCACCGCTGGCCCGCCCCGCACGTCCCACCTCCGCCCTGGGGAGCGGCTCTTGGAGTCTCCCGATGCCCCCTCTACGGCCACGACGGAGGGGACACTGAGGCTCCGGGAGGACACCTTCCGAGATGCCTCCCCCTGCGGCCGCACGTTGGTACGCGCCGCGCGCGAGAAGACTATGTAGGGAGCTCTCGAGTGACTCACCCGCCACTGGGACTGGGGGAGTGGGGAGCGGGATTGGGAGTCCCCAATCCCACCCTCGAATCTGACCCAGCAACTTCAAGTCTAAATTCTCTCCCAAACGCGCCTCAAAGAAAATCGGCTCGGGGGAGACGTCAGGAGGCATGGATAGTCACAAGGACCCTCCAAGGGCTAAGCTTTCTCTGGTGATGGCTGGGAAGGCCGCCCTTCCTCCAGCATCTTAAACTGGTGTCTTACCAGCTCCTCTGGGGTAATTACAGCCCAGCATGGCTACTTTACCCAGGTCTCTAATCTGCTGAGTCCCTCCCGGCTCCACACTGGGTGGTCCTGGTCCTGAACCTCCTCTGCCCCTATCAGAAGACGCCCCCCCCAACTCCCCCGAAGGATTTTTTCCTCTGCGACCTGTCGAGGAGAGGATGGTGACCCTCTCTTGCCTCCCCTCCTCCAAAGTAGCCCTGCTTCCCAGCTCTCAGGAGTGTGCTCCCCCATTCCTGTCGGTTGGTGCCAGCTGAGGTGAGGCCCTGGAGCCAAGCCAGGTCCAGCCTGGGGCAGAGGGGCACCTTGCTGGGAAGGTGGATCGATGGTGGTGGTGGTGGTGCAGTGACTGACTGGAGAGAGGAAGGAGGAGTGGCAGCTGGGCTCTGCCCACCCTGGTCCTGCCCTTTGTCCTGTCCTCCAGAAGGTCAGTTCTCCATTGTCCAGAGATTAAACCCAGTGAGATGCTGTCCTCCTGCTCCTGTCCCCCTTTCCCGCCAAAGTCTCTTTCTTTTCAATAGCTTTAGAGAGCAGCCTTTTGAAAGGGGAGGGTGGGGAAAAAAAGGTCTGGGTCTCAGGCAACCTGGGAGCAGCCTGTCCTGGGACCTACTTTTTAAGGCTTGGGGAGAGAATGTTATTAGAAGAGTATGATAGCCGGGTGCCAGTGGCCCATGCCTGTAATCTTAGCTACTCAGGAGGCAGAGATCAGAAGATCAGTTCGAAGCCAGCCCAGGCAAATAGTTTGCAAGACCCTATCTTGAAAATAACCAATACAAAAAGGGCTGGTGGAGTGGCTCAAGTGGTAAAGAACCTGCCTAGCAAGTGTGTGAAGTCGCAAGTTCAAAACTTCAGTACCACCAAAAAAAAAAAAAGAGGATGATGATGGAAAGCCTGCAACTTGAGCTGGTGATAACTTTTCTTAAACCAGTTTGCTTACCTATAAAATCAAGAAAATAATAGTGCCATGAGGCATTATGGGATCACTATGAAGATAAAGGCAGTACAGATGAAGTGCTTAGCACAGATCCTGGCTTGTAGGAAGAACTCAATAAATACATGATGATGAAGGGGATTAGGATGAGGAGCAGATTTCCCTTATTTGTTGCTAGCCATCTCATCTGCAGGGTGAGGGCACCATGTGGATAACGGAGCCATGGCTGTCCTTTGTGAGATCAGAGGCCTCAGGGCCTGCAACTTTCAGAGCTGGACACAGGTCCACCTCGAGCCATACAGTGAGTAGATTCCGGAGAATTTAGGAAAAGAACTCAACAAGGGGAGAGCCCTCTGAAATGGTTCTTTTACTACCTCCCACCCCTGGTCTTGAGGTCACTGCAGGGATAAAGATAAGGGGAAAAGGTGAGACCCCAGCTTTGGCTAGAGCTCAGGAATAGTGGAGGGGGAAATGGTAGCTAAAGATGAAAAGATAGAGCTGGGTGTGGTAGTGCATGCCTGTAATCTCAGCTACTTGGGATCATAAGAGACCCTATCTTAAAAACTAAAAGCAACTAGATGGGGGACCTGGGAGAGTACTCTTGCCCAGCAAGCAGTAAGAAGGAGGCCCTGAGTTCAATCCCCACTAACAAAGAAAGAAGGAAGGAGGGAAGAAGGGAAAGGAAGGGCAGGGAAGGGTAGAGAGATAGAGCAGAAAGAAAAGACAGACCAGGGATAAGAGGTTTTTTGTTTGTTTTTTATGGTACTGGGGCTTGAACTCTGGGCCTGACTATAAGAGATTTTAAATGCCAATTGATTTGCAAATGTGGATTCTGGATTCTGGGGAGCTGTGGAATACCAAGGGGTTCTTCAGCGGGGGAAGCCTTTACAACTGGAAATCTTCAATTGTGTCTAATTTCTAGCATTGACTTTGGAGAGCTCATTGAAAAGAGGCAGCCTGTAGTGGGTGGTAGACTTCATCAATTTAAGGCAATTTTGCATACCCCTCCCCTGGGCCATTTGGCAAGTTGAATCACATTCTGGTTGTCACAACTGAGGGTGCTACTGGTATCTAGTGAATGGAAGTCAGGCATGCTGTTTAACATTTTACTACGCCCATCCTCCACAACAAAGAATTATCAGCCGTAGAATGTCAATGGTGTCAAAGTTGAGGAACCCTTCCCTCTCAGGTTGAGATTCCTGCTCCTCAAAGGTGCTGGTGTAGGGCATCTGCAAGCTGAGCCAGTCCCTGCCCTGAAGGCTTCCGGCACAGCTGACAGGCCACAGGGAGCCTAGGAGGATGGCTTGGCTTAGGGAGAGTTGGGACAGTGCAGCTGACTGCCCCGTCCATGTTTGATGCAGTCGGGGTAGGCAGATGGGAGTAGGCACCTCTCTCTTCTCTAACTGACCAGATCCGGACAGATTCTATGCCCCAGTAACTTGAGAGGTTTGACGATGGTATCTGAGTTTGGGGCTAGGTGACAGTGCCTGGGGTCTCCTGGTGTTCCGAAAATGTTAGAGAAGGTACAAAGGGACACTTGCAACATCAGGAGCTGAAACCCCCAACAGGATGACCTGCAAATTCAGTGAGGGTGGGGAACACTTGTCACCTCCTCTGTGGCCCAGGGCAGTCCCCTCCTCCTCCACAAAAACAGGCTGAGTGAGTGTTAGTCTCACCACTTATCACCATGAGGTGAGGTTGGGTCTGGGACATCCCTACAGGGATCAGAAATATGTCCCCTTGCTGATCCCCTAAGAGGAAGGCAGGAGCAAGAGCACTTACAACCTTCTAATTTGGTGGGGCAAGACCCAGAATGAACTTGATTGAGCAGGGAAGGAAATCACTGGAAGATTTGACTCAGAGATATGAATCTCAAGACAGAGGATCTGGATGTAGCCTCCCCACCCACAAAGTAGGAAATGGGAGGAGCCTCTTGGGGGCAGCAGACAGAACAGATACCAGATTCTCACTCCCATCCAACCCCCAAGGCATGGCAGCAAGAAGGTGTCTCTAACTCTTTGGGGAGCCTTAGCTTCCAGGGCCCACTGCCTGGGGCTGGGACTAGGGAATGTCCTCCAGGCAGTGATGACACCAGCTGTCTATCTCCCTCTGTCTCTTGGGGAGAGGGAAGAACAAGGAAGGACTGGAGTGAGGAAGAACTCAAATTGAGGACTACATAGATTCAATCCTAATGACAGATGGAGTAGGCACCTCTCTTTTCTTTCCCCTGATAAGAATGGGAAGCTGATTGTTTTCTAGGGAGGAAATAAGGGTGTGGAGCAGGTGACTGGTGTTCCTAAATGTCCTTGTCCCTAGAGGTGGTGGGGATGGTTGGGATTTGAGAAACAGTACTTAGAACCATCAGACCTGCTGTATACATATATAAGGAGGAGGTGTAAGTGCAGGGGATCAAACTCAGGGCTTTGCCTGTGCAAAGTATGCATTCTATTATTGAGACATACCCCCAAAGGAGCTTTTAAGTTTCAATTTGAGCAAGGAGGAGACCCTATAGATCAATAGATGGACCTGACCCCCACCCTTAATTCATGACTGATGACTCTTAGAGGATGAGTCCCAAGAGTCCCAAAGAGAAAGCAATGCCAAGAGGAGGAATCACAGGCCAGAGGAAGAATCTCAGAGGTTGCAAGGCAAGGAGAAGCTCCACCTCCAGTCTCTCCAGAACCGCCCTGCCTAACAGCAGGCTGGGTGGGGTTGGGCGGCTGGCCGTGACTGTGACTCAGGTTTCTGTGGGCAGCCAAGGCAGCCGGCAGGGAGGAGCCAGACCAAGAGACAGGCTGGCCAACTGCAGCTTTCACCTCAGCTGTCCCCTCTCCTGGGAATGTAGGAGCTCTTTTCTAGCTGTTTTGGCCTCCCATGGTCAGTAGACCCCTGATTTCCTCCACTATCACCCCCTCTGTGGACCCCTGTGCTCCTTCTCAGAGCCCCTAGCTTTTGGCCCTTGCCCCTGAAGGCATGACACAGGGATCACTGCCTCTAGGGAGGCCCCAGAATGTCTTTGCCACAAGGAGAAGGGTATAATAATGATTGGTCCTGGACCTTCGGGAAGGGCTGTAGGGGAATCCTGAGGCCCCCAGCCTTCCCCAGCCTGGTTGGTTCATGTCTGTACAGGCTGGTTTTCATGGTGAAGGCTGGGGGCTACCAGGCTGTAGTGAGGAGAGTGTGCTCAAGGTCCTCTATCCTGTGTCCAGTCCTCTCAGGGTTGACTGCTAAGGAGAGAGGTGGCTGGAGCTAAAACCAAAGAGCTGTGGTCAGCAACTGTAAAGACTTCCTCTTGGTGATGGGTGAGGGTTCAGCCGCACATTTGCTGGCTGTGTTTTTATTGGGTGGCTGGAAGAAAAGGAATCCACACTCACTTGATGCCTTTTCTGTACCCAGTTCTGCACACATCAATCTTCACAGCAACTGAGAGTGTGCCAGCACCAGATGGCAAAGCTGGGATTAGAACTCAGCACTGATTGCCACCACGGCTGGGGATCTTCCCTCCCCCACTCCCTCCGGGAGCCAGGCAGTGTAGCCCTTCTAGGCGAGGTGAGGGGGGAAAAATGACTTGAAATTTAGATAAAAGACTGGATATTCCAACTTGAGTCCAAGGTAGTGGGATGCAAGTGCTGGCTGCGTTTGGAGATTGGGAACACGGCACTTAGAAGAGAAAGAGAAATGCTTGACAAAGAGCAAGTGGTCATTCAAAACTTTTATAATGAAGCCAGACCTGTGTGTGAGCCATTACTAGTTTTCGGGGACATCCTGGGAGAATCAGGAGTTGAACTGCAGCAACAGAGGAAGAAGGTAGTTTGAAAGAGGGACTTTCCAAGACCAACCCTGGAGACAGAGGAATTTGAAGAACAACTCTGAGCCAGGCGTGGGGGAGGGAAAGAAAAGGACAGCGTGTGGACTGTACATGACTACCGCAAGCTGCGGACGCCACCCAGCGTCCAGAATGCAGTCCATTGGGGACCAGGCCCAGCGCAAGCAGCTCTGGGAGTCGTAGTTCGGCTGTTCAAGGGGCGGGACTTCCTGCGGGCGGGGCTGTCGGGTACTGTAGTCCAACGTTTGTTGGGCGGGGTTACCTTCGTTGACCGGACCACAAGTCCGGTGGTGCCCCGCGGCAGGCCGCGCAGACGCAGTGAGGCGGAACCGGTCACTCTTGGAGCTGAGGGGCCGCGGCTGGGTTGAGCGGCGTCTGGAGGGGGTCACCAAACAGGCCTGCGGCTAGGCGACGCGGCACAGGATAGCCCGCACTATGTCGAGGCAGGCGAGCCGTGGCACCGAGAGCAAAAAAATGGTAACTTGGAACGCGTGACTCCGGCGGGCGGGGCGGAATTGAGGCGTCCTGGGAAAGGGGCCTCCTGTGAACAGTGGGAGGGGGAGGCCGCCTGGTGGGTCATTCGTGGGCGTCCTGCGCTTGGGGTAGGCTGGAGGACCCGCGAGTAGTCCCCTACCCTCCGGAGACCCGAGCGCAGCTCTGTGTTTGACAATCTCTTACTTACCAGTAAGTAAGAGACTTACTGGTCTCTTGCTGTGTGTTAGGCATTAGGCCAAACACTTTATGTACATGGTCTCATTTGATCTGCAAAGTAGCCCGACTAGATGGATAGTGTTAGGTCTCTTTACAGCTCAGGGAGGTTATGTAACACCCAGATATACGCCTAGGAAGAGTTGGGATTTGAACCCATGTCTCCAATTCGAGCTAATGCTCTAGACTACTGAGCTGTGCTGCCTGCCTCCCACACTGTGCTGTGAGAGGCGTGCTCAGATACTGGCTTTGTCAGAAAGGAACTTCCTATCCAGTGCATAAAGTTGATCTGCGGATGGTTTTGGAGAGTAAGGTAGATACTATTTTTCATCAAGCTAAGGGACTTTCCTGGCAGGTGTTCCTTTTCTTTGGCATATTCTTACTTCTTCCAGAACTGCCCATGCCATGACTTTGTTTTGGAATTAAAAGTTGAGCATCTGGGTTGAGGTTGTAGCTCAGAGGCAGACTGCATGTATGTGTAGGAAGCCCTGAGTTCAATTCCCTGGACCAAAAACAAAACAACCGAGTATCTGAGGTTGCATTCAGAACAGACCAGGGACCTTAGGTTGATATTCAAACTCTACATAGAATGATTAAATTTCCTTTACACGTTCACATATTACACCAGGTACAGCCCACCAGAAATGGGCAGCAGGGAAACCCTGTTATCCCAGAGTAGTACTTAACCTTTCTTTCCTCTCTCAGACCCCTTTTGAGAAGCTACTGATAGCATTAAATCTTCTCCCAGAAATACTAAGTAAACAAATACACACAAACACTGCCGTTGAAGCAGGGTTTGACCCCCAGCACCATAAAAACAAAATAAACCACAAACATTCAAACATTTCCTTACCTTTTCCAGGGATTTGTGGGCCCCTGAAGAAACTTCATGAAAATAGGTTAAGAATTCCTTTCTCTGGGCTGGGGATGTAGCTCAGCAGTACAGTGTTTGCCTAGCATGCACAAGGCCCTGGGTTCAGTCCCCAGCAATCCCCTCCCTGTCCCCTCCTACCAAAAAAGAATTTCTGTTTTGAAGGAAATACCAGTAGTTTAAAAGAAGATAAAATTTTACTAGGGTGCTGGTGGCTCACACCTGTAATTCTAGCTACTCAGGAGGCAGAGATCAGGAGAGTAACAGTTTGAAGCCAGCCAGGGCAAATAGTCCACAAAAAAGGGCCAGGGTGGCTCAAGGTGAAGGCCCTGAGTTCAAACCCCAGCACTGCAAAAAGAAAAAAAAAAAGTTAGGAATCAGCCTCACATTGAGGAAAAATAGTGGATGTTGGTTGGAATTCTTTCTTATCAATTGATTATTAATTTCCTTATCTATGAAATGGGACAGTAATGTCTACTTAAAATTATATGAGATGGTAGGATACTGGTGGTTCACACCTGCAATCCTAGCTACTTTGGAGGCAGAGATCAGGAGGATCATGGTTTGAAGCCAGCCTGGGTTCACAAAACCCTATCTCGAAATACAAAACAGGACTGGTGGAGTGGCACAAAGTGGTAGATAGCCTGCGTAACAAGTGTGAGGCCCTGAGTTCAAGCCTCAGTAATGCCCCCCCCAAAAAAAGATCATATAGATAGTGTAAAGTTGAAGGAGTATGGTAGGTGTTTCTTCCTTTTCCTATGATATGAGTAGAGAGGTATTCCTTAAGTTTTGTATCTTGCTCTCATTTGTGTGTGTGTATATATATATATGTATATATATATACACATATTTTTGTGTGTGTATGTGTGTGGTATTGGCACCAGGCTCATTTTTGTATATTTTTGTTAATCTGAAATCAGTAATGAAAAATTTTTTTGTTTTTTGGCAGTATGAGAGTTTAGAGGGGCTTGAACCTGCTAGGCAGGTGTTCTACCACTTAAGCCAGACCCTGAGCCCTTTTTTGCTTTAGTGTTTTTTGGATAGATCTTGTGTTTTTGCTAGAGGCTGGCCTCAGACGAGATCCTTGGTTGGCAGAGTAGTTCAAGGAGTAGAGCGCCTACCTAGCAAGAGGCCCTGAGTTCAAACCCCAGAACCCTCAAATAAGTAAAAAAATAAAAAAAAAAAAAGATATCCTTCTACCTATGCCTCCCATGTAGCTGGGATTAGAACACCTGCCTTGTTTATTGAGTTGGGGATGCCTTAACTTTTGTCAGGGCTGGCCTTTGAACTGCTCTTCATGATCTCTGCCTCCTGACTAGTTGGGATTACAGGCATGCATCACCATGACTGGTCCCAGTATTGAAATCTTTAATATCACTCTAGCATGAACCTGGAACCTCTATCACTTCCTTAAGTAAGGTAATTAGGGAGGGGAAGCCTCCTGCCTCTTCCCTCAAGGTTCTTAAAACTGGTGTTGTCTTTGTTTGGAACTCAGATAGTCACTTAACCCACTCTTCATTTCATTCACAGTTACCCTGGATAACTGTTAATTCTCAGAGAGGTCTTCCCTGGACACCTGACTAGTTCTCTATCTTCTTTCCCTATGCTGATTTTCTTCATAATGCTATCTCTTTACATTTTAAATGATATTCCATTATAAATTATGTTTTTACTTATTTTTAGTCTTCCCCATGAAAATGTAAACTCGAAGAGGGTAGGGATTTGTTTTTTTGGTTTTGGGGTAGTACTGGGTCTTGAACTAAGGGCCTCATACTACTACTTGAGCCACTGTGCCAGTCCTGGGTTTTTTTTTTTTTTTTTTTTATGTTGGGTGTTTCCTTTTTTTAATTATTATTATTGTTGTGCTGGGAGTACATTGTGACATTTACAAAAGTTCTTAGAATATATCATAGTTGAATTCACTCCCTCCATCATTCTCCTTTAGCCCATGTTGGGTATTTTCGATATAGGATCTCACGAACTCTGCCCAGGCTGGTTTCCAACCACCATCCTCTAGGTCTCTGCCTCCTGAGTAGCTAGGATTGCAGGCGTGAGCTACTGGTGCCCAGCAAGGGATTTGTTTTGTTCCCTTCCCAGCACCTAGAATGAAGCCTGACACTAGGCGATCAATACAGAGCTGAATGAATGAAATTAGGGTTTGAGTGCATTCTCTACTTCAGTTCCTACTAGTGCCTTCTCAGACTTGTCAAATGATCCTGTTTCTGGCTACCTGCTTTTGACATGCTCTTCCCTCTCTACTTGGGGAATCTACCCCTCTAGCAGCCCTCTTCCCAGTCAGCCCAGCCTTGTGCTAATTACTGTGTTCAACCTAAGCCCTCCAAGACCTAAATGGTTTAACATACTTAAGTAACCAGATCTGTACTTTTAGTCAGTGCTATCAGAAACAGCCTATTTGTCCAGCAGACTTCAATTGAGCTTCAACTATGGGCAAAACTCTGTGCTAGGAAGATACAGAGATGAAGTCCTAGTTCCTAACCTAAAGAAACACATACTCAGCTGGGCGCTGATGGCTCATGCCTGCAATCAACCTTAGCTACTCAGGAGGATTGAGGTTCAAAGCCAGCCAGGGCAAATAGTTCGTGAGTCCCTATCTTAAAAAATACCCAACACAAAAACAGAGCTGGTAGAGTGGCTCAAGAGGTAGAGTGCCTGACTAGCAAGCATGAGGCCCTGAGTTAAACCCCAGTAACACACACACACACACAATATATATATATATATTGTGTGTGTGTGTGTATATATATATATATATATATAGTGGTTTTCTGAGAATTGAGAGAACTATGTAAAGTTAGTACTGTAACAGTGACCTAGGCAACAGCATCAGCTAGCATCTTTATTAGTCTTGGTGTGCCTGTACACTTGAATCCCATGGACAGTGAGACCTGCTCTTTTGTGTTGTGTTACTAATAAGCGACTCTAGTGTTTCTATCCAGAGCTCAGGTGAGTTACTGTGTAAGTAACAGCACTTACTTCCCAGGACTGACTGGAGGCCAGAGGGAAAGGGAGAGAGTTGTTGTTACTGATCCTTTGTCCCCGACTGCTAGAGGGGTTTCATACTGGATTACCTATTTTGACAAAAATAGCATAACTTTTGAAGCTTTATCTCTAAAGATCAGCCCCCTTAAGAAGATTGGATATGGCAGGCCTCTGACTCATGCCTGTAATCCTAGCTACTTGGAGGCTGAGATCAGGAGGATCAAGATTTGAGGCCAGCCAGGCCAAATACTTCACAAGATTACCATTTCCAGAGTAACCAGAGCAAAATGGACTGGAGGTGTGGCTCAGGTTGGAGAACACCTGCTTTGCAAGTGCAAAGCCTGAATTCAAATGCCAGTCCCACAAAAAAAAAAAAAAATTTTTTGTTTGGGGCACTAACTAAATGGCCTTGTGAGAGCCGTCAAGTGGTTCTCCCTGGGGCAGAGCTTGGTTTAACTTACTCTGCCTGGGCTATACCCAAAGTACTTGGAGCTCATGTTAGCATAGTTATCCTAACTCCTGTGGGTTTTTTGTCTGCAAAGCATCTTCAGGTCTATTATGTCATCAGATCCTCTCAACAACTCTCTCATTAGCATAACAGGTTCTACTGTTACTGTTTTTGTGTGAGAAGATTGTGGCTTAAAAAGTGAAGTGATTTACCTAAGATCTCACAGCTGTGAGGTAACAAGTCCAGACTTAAAATCAGATCTTCTGACTATGAATCCAACTTTCTTTCATGTGACTTATTGTTAGAAAGTTCTTTATTATGTTCATTCAAAATCTCTCTCCTTAATAGCTGTCCTCCCAAAACGTACTTCAGGGTACTCTCTGCACCACAGTACATTGAAGTAGATTTAGAATGAAACTAAACATGACTGGAAGTACAGCTCATTAGTAGAGTGCTTGCCTGGCATGCACAATGGTCTGAGTTTGATCTCCATCACCTCAAAAAATAAAGATAAAAATAAAACAAGGTGGGTATGGTTATATACATCTGTAATCCAAGCACTCAGGAGGCTAAAGCAGGAGGATTTCAAGTTCAAGGCCAGCCTGGGCCATAGAGGGAAACCCTATTATCTTTTTTTTTTTTTTGGTAGGACTGGGGTTTGAACTCAGGGTTTCATGCTTGCAAAGCAGGCACTCTACCACTTGAGCCACAACTCCTCCAGGGAGACCCTGTTTTAAAATGAATAAATAAGCCAATACTGGTAGCTTGTACCTAGCTACTCAGAGGTAGAGATCAGGAGGATCACAGTTTAAAGTCAGGCCCAGTCAAATAGTTTGCTAGACCATAGCTGGGCTGGTGGAATGGCTTAATGGTAGAATGCCTGCCTAGCAAGCATGAGACCCTGAGTTCAAACCCCAGTACCATAAATTATTAAATAAATAAAATGACTATAAAAATAAATACCAAAATCCTAAAAAAAAAAAAAGTATTTCTTGAGTTCTTACTGTGTAGAAGGTCTTCTGCAGACATCATTATCTCATTAGAATTGCGTTGTAACCTTGAGGGCCAGATAACATTGTCATCATTTTACAGATGGGAAAACTGATGTTCTAGGAGAGTAAGCAGTGGCTGAGGACAGCAAAGATATTTTTTCTGTACTGGGTTTGAACTCAGGCTCTTGCACTTGCTAGTTAGGCATTCTCACCTGAGCCATGCCTCCAGCACTTTTTGCTGTAGTTATTTTTTGGATAGGGTCTCCTGTTTATGCCTGGGCAGGCCTTGACCTTGATTCCCCTGTTTACCCTTCCTGAGTAGCTGGGATGCATCATCCACCCAGCTTTTAATGGTTGAGATGGGGTCTCTCAAACTTTTAAAACTTTTTGTCCATGCTAGCCTTGAACTTTATCCTCCCCATTTCTGCTTCCCAAGCAGTGGAATTATGCTTGATGGAAATTTTTTTGTTTTGTTTTGTTTTACAAGTCACGAGAGCCAAAAACCCAGGTCTTCATTACTTCTCTCATTTCCTCTTGTTTCTTTCTTGCTCACTCTTCTCTTTTTTTTTTTTTTGTGAGACTGGGGTTTGAACTCAGGGCTTCACATTTGCTGCTTGCTCTTCTCAAATGCACTGGTCTCTCAGCTGTTTCTCAGACATGCCAGGTATACTCCCTCCCATTTCAGGGCTTTTACACTTACTGCCTCAGATATCTTTTCACCCAGATACCTTTATGGTTTACCTTTACCTCCTTCAGGTCTTCACACAAATATCACCTTAGTGTGGCCTTCCCTAACTACCTTTATTTAAAATTAACACCCCTCTCCTAACACACAAATATGTGGACATAAGTACTCCTTAATCTCCTTTAGTGCTTTATTTTTCTCTGTAGCACTTCTCACCATCTGGAAAACCATGAGTTTTATTTTTTGGCTGTATTGTCTGTCTTGCTCTTATTAGCTCCTGTTGATTGAATGACTTTTTTTTCTATATCATAGCCCCACTCCTATTTTGAAAGCACGAAAACTTTTTTTTTTTTTTTGCAGTACTGGGGCTTGAACTCAGGCCTGCACCTTGAGCCACTCTGACAGCGCTTTTTTGTAATGGGCTTTTTTGAGATAGGGTCTCACACACTATTTGCCCGGGCTGGTTTCGAACCGCTATCCTCCTGATCTCTGCCTCCTGGGTAGCTAGGATTACAGGTATGAGCCACTAGCACTGGTTTGAAGACTTTTAAGTTACATATATTTATTTACTCATTGTTTATGTAGGTTTAGTTCATAACCGGGGATAGAGACAGACTCAAAAATTAATAGAGGGTGTGGAGAATGAGTTAGGGATCTCATTCCCAAATCACAGACACATTGATTTTGTGGTCACAGATCACAGGCCCTTGATTTTCCTTATTGGTAAATTGGAGTGGCTGCATGTGCAAGGTGCTTGGTAGCATTGTGGTTCGCATGTTGCTTGGCATCATGGTGACCTGAGGCTCTTGGAGTCTCCATCCAAGGGTCATTAATAATGGAAAGAAAGCTCTCCTGATATAAGGCAGTGGTGCCAACTCCTCGGACTGGTAACTGCTGGATTGCCTCCATCCATTCATGCCCAAGTCATTCTAGTGCCAAGCCTTTGAGTTTACTAAAAAATCATTCCTCTCCTTAATAGCTTCCCTTTAATTGCCATATTTGGTAAATGGTCTCTTGGAGACACCCTGGTCTGACTGTTTTAGTTGGGCTCAAAGAACCTCCTGATCCCAGAATTGATTTTCTTTGAATCTAGTTCAGTTAAATTTTTTTTTCTTGTTTGTTTTTGTTTTTTTGAGGGGGTTTATTAATATTGCACTTGTGGGGGAACAGTGGGGAGAGTGAACATTAGCTGGGAAGCCTTTGGGTTTTGTCCCCCCAAACTCCTTTTCTCAGTTAATAGTTAGCTGTTTAACCTTGGACAGATTACTTACTCATTCTGGTCTCAGTGCCTTCCACAGTGGGATTAATTTCTCTCCTCTACCGTTCAGCTTCACTGAGTTATTATTATGTGATGCAAAATGAGATGAAAAATAGAATGCCCTATGTAAGGAAAAAGCATTCAGATTATTATTTGGCAGCGACCCCACCAGCCATGAGTGTGGTGAGGAGCACTATCCTGTAAGAGCCTAGGCCTTAATGTTTCTTGGACTTCCTTCTCCAGAATACTTGAAGACAGAAAGGTGCTTTGCCACAAGTCTAACATGCCTCCATTCAGAAGGGAGGCAGTCTTGATTTTTCAGCCCTGTTTCTAAGGAATCTGTCGGTCTAAATGTGCTGTTAACATGTTTTTCTGATACTTCCTTTCCCCCTGCAGCTTTCATTCTTCAGTATTGGCATTTACCATTCCTTTCCTTCTTGGTTAGGTGGGTAGATAGTAGGTAACAGGTGGTTTTTTATTTTTATTTATTTGTTTGTTTGTTTTTGTAGTGCTGGGGAGTCAAATCTAGGATCTTGTGCATGCTAGGCAAGTGCTCTACCACTGAGCTACATCCCCAGCCCAGCATGAATTTAGGACTAGATTAGTTAGACCTACTAGCTACATTGAAATCATATATGAATTTATGGTTTTTAAAAATTTTTACTTATTTTTTTGTGGTGCTGAGGCTTGAACTTACAGAGTAGTGTGCATGCTAGACAAGCACTCTACCACTGAATTATACTCCCTAACCCCAGCCCTAGCAGAGTTCTTTTTTTTTTCTTTTTTTTTGTGGGTATTGGTATTTGCCGTTATACAACTTAAGCCATGTCTCCAGCCCCCAACAGTATTCTTATTTTTTTTTAATTTTGTTTTATCGTTTATACATTTAGTTACATGCGTATATATTATTTGAGCCACCTCCCCCACTCCCTTCTAGGCAGAACCTGTACATGGCATTTTTGCTAGTTTTGAGATAAGGATAGCTATACGGGGAGGTTCTTTGTGTTATTTCCATGCACATGTGTATTACAACCCAAATTGGTTCATCTCTACCAGACCTCTTCACTTCTAGGCCCCTTCCCATAGTGGCCTCTGCCAGTTTAAGATTATAGTATTTGTTCCTGTACAGTGAGCACATCAACCACATTCAAGTTTTTGGTTTTCTTCCCTTTCCCCTTAGTGTGAACTGTGTCCAACCCAACAGAATTCTTTATCTGAGAAAGTTTCTGTGATTTTAACTCAGGTTGTAATAGAAACCAATTCAGGACAGTATTGTGTTCCAGGTATACAAAAGATTGTATTCTTTTTAGACTTATTCCCTTTTCTGGAAACATTTTAGCTCTGTGTCACAAGGAACATTATATTTTCCCAAGCTGGTGACTTTGGAAAGGGGTTGTCTTCAGAGCGATGGACTTCCTCCCTTCCCCATGGACTGGCCCCTGGGCCCTCTGCTCTCCTGGGAGACTTGAGAATACATATAGCTTAATTCTTAAGTCAGGACATTCTAAGGTGTGAGGAAGCCATTTGTCACACCTGCTAACACACAGGAGCTAGTTTAAAATGTCTGCTTCGGGTCCATCTTTTATAAAATCAAGTGAGTGACTACTACTCCCATACCAGATTCAGGTGGCTAAGTATATGATTGGCAGCTATGGTGGAGGCTTGGGTTGGCAAAAGCCCACTTTGGCATATTGGAAGAGTGACTGCCCAGTGTATGAAGTGCCATTTACAGCCTGTTTTGCAGTGGATCTGGCTGCGGTCCTCTCATGTTGACCTTAGGGGGCCAAATTCCCTAGCTTTACAATAGGGAATGATGTTCTTTCCTTACAGACACAGACAACCAGGAGACTTTTCTTGACAATTGCATCAAGGCCAATTCAGACTCTGACCATACCTTCTCAACCTTTTCATTTGTGCTGCTTGGTCCTGATTGCCTTTTGAATCTCTTTTAGAGCTCTGAGCTCTTCACTCTGACCTATGGAGCTCTTGTCACCCAGCTGTGCAAGGACTATGAAAATGATGAAGATGTGAATAAGCAGCTGGACAAAATGTGAGTGAGTGCTTGTGAAGGAGAGGCAGGAGTGGGACTCCCCAGCACTCTGAGTGTACATTGTCCTTTAGAGCCCTGGACAGGCTCCTCTCTCTTATAGCCAGCATTTGGGGTACAGTTTCCACTGAGCTCATTTATTAGGATGTTATTGAGATTATCCCTATTTTATCTTTACCAACAATAGCCTTACGTTCAGACATAACAAATTTAGATCCTCTAATGGTTTTTTCTCTAATTTCCTTCCCAGGGGCTATAACATTGGAGTCCGACTGATTGAAGATTTTTTGGCACGGTCAAATGTCGGGAGATGCCATGACTTTCGGGAAACTGCAGATGTCATTGCCAAGGTCATTATTCTAGGCTACCTGGACATGCTGAAGGATTGCTATTGGGAGGCACTTACCACTCCTTACATCTTTCTTAGAGGCTCTTAATCTTCCAAAATACTGACTAGGCAGCTACTTAGGACAAAGAAGCCTTGCTGATGGTTTGGGAACAGTAAATTATGAGAAAATAAAGAGTGCAGATTAAAGCCCCACTGAAATTAAAGCCAGATCTCCACTGAGAAGGTGTAGCAGAGTAGCATGGGGGTTAAGAACATAGACGGTGGACTAAGTCAAACCTGGTTTCAAGGTTAGGCTCCAATACTTACTATTTCTGAGTTCTTAGTAAGTTACTTTTAATCTCTTAGATTACCAGTTACCTCACGTTTGAAATGAGTAGAATAAGAGCTGCCTCACAGTGCTGCAGGAATGAAGGAATGATGATGAACGTGGGCATTCCCATGGAATGACTGCCCTGAGTTCACACCCCAGTGCTGCCCAAAAACACCAAAAACACTTTCTGTAGTATATAATGTAGTGCATGTAGTAAATATTCGTATTAGTATTAGTGCTATATATTGTAGTATTAATAAATGGCGTAACACCTGTAGCTCTGTGATGTCATTTACCTAAAGGATGGTTCCTTCAGATGTAAGCATGTAGTCATACCTAGATCCAAAAGAGGGCTGAGAGTGAGCTTTGTGAGGGTTGGAAGTAGGAGGTGGATTGGGAGGATGCCTTATGAGTAATTCTGCCTCACTGACTATATTCACTTTCAAGTCTGTGTGTCCAGGTAGCACAAAGGACAGCAAAGGGAGTTAGGGCCTCCCTGCTCATGCTGGTTGAGGGCAGTGCTCCCTTCCACTAAGTGTAGGCAGATAGTGAGTTGTTGCTTAATTGTATGATGCCTTGGAGGAGAGGGCCTAGAATTGTGTGCAGATGCTTCTTTTTCCTTTGAATACCCAAAGCTTCATTGGCCTTTCAGAGGTCAATTTTTGTTCCAGAGCTACTTCTTTCCCTCCTGTCACCTTCCTTACTGTACAGTTTCTGTTGCCCTTCCCCAGTGCTATGGTGTGTCCCCTGACAGGTGGCGTTCAAGATGTACCTGGGTATCACTCCAAGCATCACTAATTGGAGTCCAGCTGGTGACGAATTCTCCCTCATTTTGGAAAATAACCCTTTGGTGGACTTTGTGGAACTTCCTGATAACCACTCATCCCTTATTTATTCCAATCTCTTGTGTGGGGTGTTACGGGGAGCCTTGGAGATGGTGAGTGCAGTTTTTACTTTTTGAAACATCTGAACTGTAGTAGGGCTTGGTAAATATTTGAGTACATAAGAAAAAAAGGCTTTGGCTCTCCCCAGCCCTTTCCTGCCTGAATGGTGGTGTTGCTGAGATAAGATCTCAGTCAGATATCTCTCCGTGGTGATGATCCTTCCCTACTAGGCTGAGAAGTGGTGCTGTCAGCTACTGCAGCCTAGGACCCATTCCCAGATAGACTTACTTGGTGACAGTCCCATTCTTGAGTTTTTTTATAAATTGGGATCACTGTCTTCTGCAGTGGAACATTGGAGTTGGCAGTCCTGTCTTTGTGGGAAACCAAACCCTTTTTTTTTTTTTTTTGACTGCTATGAGTGTGTCAGTTATAGCCTCATTCCTGATGACTCCCCAGAGTCTGTGGCTAGGTATCTGCCCCTTCATTTTTCCACTTCCCCTAGGTCCAGATGGCTGTGGAGGCCAAGTTTGTCCAGGATACCCTGAAAGGAGATGGTGTGACAGAAATCCGAATGAGGTTCATCAGACGGATTGAAGACAATCTCCCAGCTGGAGAAGAATGACCATCCCCAGGACTTGTGGGTAGCCAGCAGGAGCATTTGCTGGAATCAGAAAGGCTCCATCCACCAGTTGCTCCCTGGAACTCAGTGACTCTTCAGTGTGATGTTATATATTCTTTGTTTCCATTCTCCATGCTAATAAAGAGCAGACTGATACAGTCCATTTATCCCACAAGTATGCACATTCAGAAGGGAAATTCTTTGCTCCCTTTCCCTTCAAAGGGGCTGAATATAATTGTCCTTGGTTGGACTAGAAAGAGCTCAAACCATTTTACATTCCTGTGAATTTTCCAATGCAAAACCCACTTTGACCCCATTAAGAGACAAGCCTGGCACATCTATTCCTAGGCCTTCATAAAGCCATTGGCAAATGGCTGTAGGAATATGGGGTCGTGGGGGAGGCAGGAGGGCTGGGAGGTAGAAATTGCTAGCCGTAGCGTGACATGCTGTAGTGCCTGCCAGGAAATGGGGGCCAGTTATGCTGGAAACACCGACTTCTGGGAAGCCACCCAGGTCTCATTCCTCCCTGCTGTTTGGAGGCAACATCTCCTCTTTTTACAGAGGGTCCATCCTTTTTCTTACAAATTCTTCAATAAAGACACATTCTTGAGTGAAATCCTGATCATGTCCTGTTTTGTTTTGTTTTGTTTCTGCTCAACCATGGAGGCTTGACTAGGAAGACCATGAAAACTCCAGTACTGGGTGCTACTTACTTGCCACATGACACACTCTGGATTGAACTCTTGCATGATCTAGTTAACAATTCCATTTTCAGAGTGGAGTTGAAAGTTGCCCAAAGTCATAAAGCCATAAAGTGGAGACACTGGGGATCAAAGCCATGCTTTTGATGGTGGTGCTCTTCTGAAGCCTGGTTAGCACTTAGGGGAAAAGGGGAGCAGGCCTGCAGCTTCCTCTCTCAGCCTTACAGTGCTTGGGATAGCTTTTAAAGGAGGAAGCAGAGGTTGTTTCTGGCTGTATTTAATAACAACTTCTTGCGGACAGTTGACTTCAAAAAGTTTTTGGAAAGAAACTGGACTCTAGAGCTTGCCCAAAGCCTGAATTGAGGGGAGCTAATCATGGGTATATTATGCTTAAAGTGTAGCTTGGTTGTGTGAGGGTAGGACCAGGGTTCTGAGACCCCAGTAAGGGGCAGTTAGCACAGTACTTACCTCCAGGTGAGGGAGACCACTGAGGAGGGATAATCAACTTTATGTCTCCAAGTACAGGCAGGCTCATCTTCTATGATCCCATCCTTCTCTGAGTCACTTTACTTCTCCTTCCACATATAATTTGGGACCCCATGGTGGGCCCTCTGTGTTGTACAACTATTTTCTTAGCACTCTGTGTAAAGGTCCAGTCACACTAGAATTAAATGTATGAATTAAAGAGGATGAAGAAACGAATGTTGGGTCCAAATATGGAAAGCTCTGTGTAGTGTTTGAACCCTATCAAGAAAAAGGTCACCCTTAGGAGGGGAAGGTTGCCTTTCCTCTCCTCCCTGTGCCACGTTCTACTTTCTAGTGGCCATTTGGGTGATGAGATTTTAGATATTTCCAGAGTTAAACTTGTGCAACATTACAGGGTTGGTGAGCTGTGAAAACAAGGCCCTCCCTTGTGGCTTTTCCCACCTACAGTCCCACGATGTGGGATGAGGGAAGGAAAAGGGCTGGGGCTACAGAGCTATTACAGGCATCATCTCATCTTTCCAAATAAGCTAAACAGTCTCCAGCAACCTAAAGTCCTGTCTCCCATGCTCATACCTGTAGTTGATGGGTTGTAGCTTATGCATCCTTTGGCCTTACTGTGACTATGAGACTGAGCCAGCCATCCACTTTCCCTGATACTACCCACACACTCCCAACAAGAGGGGGCAGGATTGCTGGGCTGATACAGGAGATGCTGACTAGTGAAAAGGTTTCCAGGGAGCCTAACTGAAGGCAGAGTTCTGAGGCTAAAGGAACCCATGCTGGTGGCCTTTGGACCTGGGGATGGCTGGGCAGAGCTTTGGAAAAGACCTTGCTCTGCAGCCTTTGGCCACTAGGGGTCTCCAGATCACTACCCTACTGTTCCTCTCAAAAAGTGATCATTGGACTCCTAGCTTTCAGAATTTGCTAGAATATGCACCTGATGAGTAAATCACAGAGGCTAGCCAGAGCCTGGAAGGGTCCCCCTTCTCTAGTCATCTCCACAAGACCTGAAAGCAAGGCTCACAAGGCTGCCAGGCTACTGCCTGGCTACTGAACTCAGGGCATTAGAAGAGTGCATTTGCCAAGGATGTCTGGCCCATTCACACACCAAACTCTCATGCTGGCCTCCTGAGTTGTACAAACCAGCTCTGAGCCCTCCCCTAACCATCCCTCCTTACTTTCTGAGTGGAGTCCAGGGCCCCATCCCCAGCCTACTGATGTAACAGCCCCCTTCCTGCCCCAGATCCCCAACCCCAGTGAAGTTTCCATATTCCGATTACACCTTCTCCTTGGAGGTTGGCCTCCCCTGAGTTTGTACTGGGCATCCAGGTCCAAGAAGCAGTGGCAACAGAGGCCCCAGGACCTAAAATCGCATTAAGTGAAATTAAAATAGTCTCCTAACAAGAAGTCCATTGTGGCTGGTGGGAGGTGGGGGTGCAGGAAAAGCATCCTCCATCCTCCCAGGGCTTAAGTGCTACCATGTGCTGTTCCCTAGAAGCCAAAGGCTGGTGGGAGGGAGAGCTGCGGAGGGGAGGTGGTGGCAGGCGAGGAGACGCACTGTTACAGATCCTAAGCCTTTGATGTAGGGCCAGGCCCGACCCCAGGACAGCTGCTGGCCATTGCCATGGGAGCCATGGGACACAGCACATTCCTGGGGGCAATTTACACTCTGGCAGGAGAGAGGAAGGTTTCTACTGTGGGGAAAGGGGTGGGGGTCACTGCAGCAGAGGTTGGGGGTAGGTGTTGTAAGTTGCACAGCAGGGAACCAAGGCGCATAGGGCAGCATCCTCTTGCTTAGACTGGGCTGCCTTACCTAGCTCTGGTGGAGAAGCCCTCCTCCAAGAAGATTTCCCTGATAAAGCCCAGAGCTGGCAAACAGCAGTGCTCTCTCACCCAGGGGTATGCAGGAAAGCAGCTGCTCTTTCCTTTCAGCTGGCTCTGCCAGGACTGTCAGCTACAAGGGCATCTCCACTGAGCTAGACTACAGGAGGGCTGGCAGGACAGTGCACACAGGCAGAGGAGCACAATGATGCGGACAAATGTTATCCACAGCAGTAACTACTGTGTGTCTCAGGGCAGCTGTGCGCAGGGCAAGCCTAAGCACTTCACATGCACTTCTCACTGAGCAGCCACCACGACGCTCCACCATTCCCATTTTGCAAGTGAGGAAACCGAGGTGTGCAGCCTGTACATGGTAGATTAAGGACTTGAACCTGAATAGTCAAGACTCGAACACCTAGCTCTATCCAGTACGTCACATGTTACAGATTCATGTTTTTGCATTTCACTGGGTGTGTTTCCTTGTGTTCTTTGGAAGCATGTCTGGTGTGAATTCTTTATTTTTTTTAATTTTTAAATTTTTTTTGGTGAGATTGGGATTTGAACTCAGGGTTTTGCACTTGCAAAGCAGGAGCTCTACCACTTGAGTCACACCTCCAGTCCTGTGAATTCTTTAATTTGGCAAAAATATAGACCTGTGGAGGGGCTGGGGACATGGAGATGACCTAGACTCCACAATCCCTGCTAGGAGCTTCAGTGCATGGAGAAGTAGCCGACTGTGAGGTGGGGGAGGAGAAGAGAGGTTGAAAATGAGGGACAAGCAAATCCTGGCTCTCCTACTTAGCTATATGGCACTGAACAAATTATTTGAATGCTGAGCCTCAGTTTTTTCATCTGGAATATGGGAACAATTATGCTTCCCTTGCTGGCTGTTTTGGGCACATACTGGGCATTCCCTAATTGTCAGTTAGTTGCAAAACTGTGTGGATATGTGAGTGTCTGAGTGTGTGGGGATGGTAGTTTTGTGAAGTCAGAGATGTATCCCAAGCATCTATTACAGCTTTTCAGCACAAAGTAGGTGCTCAGTAATGTTTACTGACGGGGTGTTGACTGAGCATTAGTATGGGGTGGGGAGGGCCCATAGAAATGGGGGCGTGTGCGCAGGGCCACAGGACCAACTACATACTCTGGGGGGCTAGTGCAAAATTAAAATGAGGAGTCATTTGTTGAGAAATTGTTCTGATTTTCAAGATGACTAGCAGAGCAATAAACCAAGCCCTTGTGAGTGAAGAGCCCTGTACAACTCCCATGAAGCCAGCCCGTCCTCCCTGTATCTGTAGGGCCATCACCACCCTCCAGCCCTGCCCCAGAACAATGGTCTAGTTGTTGGGGAGATTATAAGGCTGCTCTAGGGAAGGTGAAGAGAGGGCGGGTTGCTCAGTGTGCAAGGCCAGGAAAATGCAGAGACCATCAGATCATTACCCCAGCAATCCCCTCCAGAGCCAGGCCAGTCCTGAGAGCAGCCCTCTGCCTTACATTCCCCCAAGATCTCACCCCCCACCCACTGGCCACTGGGTGGTCTGGGCACATGTGGTCACATTTAGATGTTGATTGAAGCAAAATTGTTATAAGATTAGAATAGTTAAGGTAACTTTAATTTCCACTGCATTACTGGGATTTTTGAAGATTGAGCTGAGGGATCCCCTGGGGTGGAAGTGAGGAAAATGGTGGGGGTTGCAGAAAGGGTTTCCATTTCACCAGATCTGGAGGAGATGCCCCTAGCAACCAAAATGGAGGAAGGGGGTCGGCTAGACAGAGGGAAGGACTTCCCAGGGATCTCAGAACTAGGAGTCCAGTCCTCTAGCAGATGTGGGAGTCAGGGGTGGGCCCTGGTGAAGCAGGAATTTATCAGCACCACACCCTGCCCCCAGACTATTTGCATGCCCTGGCCACACATCTGTGCAAACATCCCTCCCCTCCACTTGCCAGACAGAAGTGTGACCAGGGGAAGGTCCCATCCAGGTCCTCTCTGGGTACCAACTGGGGTGGCTGGAGCCAGAGAGTTTTCCTTATTGATAGAACAAGATAGAAATTTAGAAGGAATGGGAGAATAATGGTAACAGTAATAAGGATTACGAACATACTATTATTA